ACACACACACACACACACACATATATTTGCAGTGTTTCTTCCCCTTCCCTCCCACCCCTGGTAACCAACAAAGAAAGTTTCCTTCTACATATAAACCTTTCTTTGACTTTTTACAATAATGAACTAATACAATATCTGCCATTCTGTGATTGACTTATTTCACTCAGCATAACATCCCCCAAGTTCATCCACGTTATGCAGTGTTTTGCAGGTTCTGCATTGTTCTTTATCTAATAGTATAATGTTAAAGCACTTTCTTATTTCTTATAGCAATAATATATTAGCTGTTGTTGTTGTTATGTGCCCTCGAGCAGCCCCTCCTTGGGTTTCCGAGGTGGTATTACTAGGAAGTAGATTAGATTGCCCAACCTTCCTTCCGAGGAGTGGCAGGTAGGTTTGAACCACCAGCCTTCTGGTTAGCAGTTAAGTGCCTCAGGCATGCTACCAGAGCTCCTATTAGCTAGGCAGGACCACAGAAATTATCTAGTCCAATCTTATTTCATAGTTAGGAGAAGCTGAGGAGAAAAAAAAGAAAACAGCTGCCACTTCTAGTCTAAATTTTTCAAGTTTTAACTGCTGCTATTCCAGCATGAATTTCACAAAGGTCAATATTTCAAGTGTCTAAAGAGTCTCCTAACATCTAACTGCTGACATTTACTGCTTAATCAATTTCCTGTATTTTTTAGAAAAAATGCTTCAAGAGTAGATCATTGTCCTTTCTTAAAGGACAATCCCATCCCATCTAAACCAGAAAAAATTTTATCTATAATTAGTGACTGCTAGCCAGAAGGCTGGTGTTCAAACCCACCAGCCACTCCTAGGAAGGAAGGTTGGGCAATCTACTTCTGTAGTGATACTGCCTCGGAAACCCAAGGAGGGGTCGCTGTGAGTCAGGGCCAATGTGACAGCATATAACAACAATAATAACAACAGAGGCTGTATAGCATAATGGCTAAGAATATAGGCTCTTAAGCTAGACTGCCCAGGTTCCATTCCCAAACCTTCTCACCTTCTCTAGCTGTTGACCTGGGCAAGTTACTTAACCTGTCCATGACTCAGTCTCCTCATCCGTGAAATGAGGACCAACTTTACGGTGGTGAGGAAGTCTAAGTGACATTATGTGAAAAGTGCTTAGAGCATTGTGTGGCATATAGTAAGTATTCATTCAGTGTTAGCCTTTATTCTTGTTTGGTAAATATTCTTTAACTATGGTTGATAACAAAGGTATAAAACATTCTATCGCTTTTCTTGGGACTTAATTTTTGTGCTAGTTCAGGGAATGATTTATTTTTCTTTTGGTCAAACTGAAATAAACACAAGACATCTGATGTGTTCATTTACTTTAATAACAGTATGTGTACCATGTTATTACCATGGAATGTAAATTTAATTTAGACAAGAGAATTTCACAAGTGCATTCACTAGCATCTCAAAGTTGTGTATAATGTCTGACCAACCAAATAGGCCAGAAAATCATTAATCACCTCCAATATAAGTAATGTGTTTACTTTAGCATTTATGATCCTTACAGAGAAAATAAAAACACTGCACACATTTAGAAAGTGTTCATTTACTTTAGAGTAGCAATTAAAATACACAATTTCTATTTTAAGATGACATTTAAAAATTAATATGACAGCAGCAAAAATATAATTGTGCAATTACAAAAGAACTAAGTTGGAATTCATAATTAAGTTAGTTTCATGTTTATAATTCTAAAATACTACTGCTAAGTAGCTGTTGCCAGTTTTTTCAGTTTAATTTAAACACACACATTTTCAGTTGTAGGAGACAAAATGTTATAATTCATCCACTCTTCTGAAAGGGTTCTTCAAGAATCAACTAGCACTAGAAACTAAGGTAATCAACCAGTCCATAAGCAGGCAGGAAAAAATTAAATTACCTGGGGTTCAAAGCATTCTCACATGACATCCAAAGCCTGTGACTGTCTGCAGTAACTGGAAGTACTTCAATACCGCTGTCTTTTTTAGAACTAACTTTATCCTAAGAGTTTAAGAAGTGGACATTTTATCACTATAAAGTGAATTTGGGTGGCCTGTTTCTTTTTGCTAATTTGACTCCCCTCAATGACCTAGTTAGTGAAATAGGCACTAGCAGTTTGGTCACCAGGCAAGTCAAGCCTGCAATAAAGAAAGCCTGTATTGAAAATACTGTTTTCTTGTCTGTACCCAATCAAATGACTTATTTTCAACCTAAACAAATAACCTCAAAATGAGGTATCTAATCAAACAACACTAACAAGACGTAGATAACATCTTTTCTTCTAAGGCTTAGGTTTTGCCCAGTATTCCCGATACATGGAATAGGCCATACCTAAAGAAAAAAAAATGGTAGTTAAGCACTCAGATATTCTCTTCAATATTAAGAAAATAAATACAGTTCTTAAAATGGCTAAAATGGCACCTTTGCTAGCATGGACTGTTGATAAGGGGAACAAGACTAAAGTTGCTCATGCTCTTGTCTTCTTAATTGAAATTCCTAAAAGCTTTTATATAGTTTCCCAGGTACCTCCATGCTAATATGACTAGCTCATACTGTTAAAAGTATTTGTTTTAAAACACAGTATTTATCTGGCAACTTCAGGAGTCATTCTTGCTACATAATACCCGATGAAGTCGGTGAATGACAAAGCCAATAAAAGCATGAAATACCTACACTTTAAAAATCTTTTCCACTTTCAAACCTATCTTCAATAGGTAGAGATAAGTATTGATTTGGGTGAAAAGAAGGGCAATATACCAAATGTGAATGATCAACATGGAGGCATCAAGAAAGAGGAAGACATAGAGAGGTACATGGGAGGTGCAGACAACAAAGATGAACCCTTTTGCACATACAGTACTGTGCTGTCAGTGAAGGCAAACGGTATACGGGTGGATAGATGGGTGGACAGGCTGAACTATTAGGTATGTCTGTGTAGCGGGGAGTGAACCCAAGACCATGTATAGTGTTGGCAGACAATGGTTCTACAAGTGTATTTGTATGTTCTATAAGAATTCTGAGGTGCATAGTAGAGCTGACAAGGGACAAGGTTGTAGTCACTTCTTGGTCACAGCCAGCTACCCAGAGGGAGTGAGTAGTTGAACCTCTGGGCTCGGGACCAAAGTCAGGGTACATCAAGCTGAACTGGCATAACATGCTACATAAAACATTGTTCCACCTCCTACTTTGGCGAATAGTGATTGGGATCTTAAAAGCTTACAAGCAGCCATCTAGATGCAATGATGGGTCTCTCCTCGTCCAGAGCAAAGAAGAATGAAGAAAGCCAAAGATTCATGAAAATAATTAGTCCTAGCAACTGGTACACCATGCAATCCCCAGCCTGTACAACTATGAGACCAGAACTAGATAGTGCCTGGCTACCACTGTCAACTACTCAGAGGGGGATCTATGTACATAGGAGATCCTGGATAGAGAGGGAGAACAATGTGGAACAAAATTCAGAATTATTTGGGAAAAAAAAAAAAGGTGGGGGGGACCAGATTTGCTGGTCTGATAGAACCTGGTGGAACCCGAGACTATGGCCCCTCACTGCCCTTCAGGTCTGGAATTGAACCCACACCTGTGGCTTCCAGCCAAACAAAACACAGGCATATGAGTTGATCATTTACCTGAGGTAGATACATTCCTTGGAGAGAACAATCATGGGAGAAAGAAGGGCTGTTTATGCACAGGAAGACAGCTCAGGGGGCAGGAGTGCATGGAAGGATGGACACAGGGAAGAGGTAACTATCAGGAGGAAGTGGGAGGGGAGCTGTTGCATTGGGGTAAATTGTAGTCAATGTCATGAGACAAAGTGTATGTGAACTGCTGTATGGAAAGTGAATTTGCTCTGTAAACTGTCACCCAAATCACAATAAAAAAAAATAGTCTTTTCCACTTTGAAACTTAAGAAAATAGCAGTTGTATATTTATTACTGATACTGGATCCTACCACCAACCCTGTTTCCAAGTAGACTCTTAAGTGAAACTGTAAACTCAATGATAAACAGGCTTGCTTTTTCTTTCTTCCTCTAAAATCCTTACACTATATCTAAAAACTATCACTACTTGAATTATTCTTATTAATTCAAATTTTATATGAAAATGAATAGAAGTGGTATTTGCAAACTGCTACAGGTCAGCTAAAAACATCTATTTTGTTTTGTTTGTAAAGAATGCATTAACAGGTAACCACAAATTAAAAATCTCTAGGAACCTACCAACAGTCATTGCTCCTACAACAAAGCCTTGGGCTGCCACCCGCATGTGGATCAGGTGGATGGACATTTTAGTATTTCCCCTGCTCTTCAATTTGTATAATCCATATGCAACAATTGCTGCAAACCCCGCCATTCCTGTAAAACAAACAGTCATAAATATGTCAGATGCATGGGGATGGGGAAGGAGATCAAAATTATTTCACCACCAGTGTCCTCTCCATTATATTATCACCATTAATTAGCTATCATAAAAACTGAGCTTCTTAAAATTTTTCCCTCAGAACCAACAATCTATAATTGGTAGCAAATACTAGCTGATCCAGAAAAATCAGAATTATTTAAAAAATGCAGACTTGTGGAGCCAGTTGACAAACTCCTTTAAAAGAATGCCATAGGAGCCCTTCTTCTCTGACTTACTTCTCTCCCTGAAGGGAATCAATTAATATAGCAGATAAATCCTACATATTACTATCACTAAGAAACAAAGACAATCTTATCTGTGTACTTCTAACTCTTGAGATACTGTACTGGGAAGACTATAAGTAAAACACCATGCAGGAGAAAGTAAATAGATCAATGGTAAGAGTTCCGAGGTAAAAGGATTAGAATTCTACACCTAGCCAAGCTTTCATTCATTTCGAGGGCAAAAACATTGTGGATATGACCTTGATATGTTTTAAAAATCTACCATCCATGTACTTATGTTTAAAAAAAAAAAAAAAAAAAAAAGAGTCTTAGTGGTACAACAGTAAACACTTGGTTGCTAACCAAAAGGCTGGCAGTTTAAACCCACCCAGCAGCTCCTTGGAAATAAAAATTATAGCCTAGAAAACCCTTATGGAGCAGTTCTGTTCTGTCATATGGGGTCATATGAGTCAGAATCAACTCAATGGTACCTAACAACTGAGGAAGTAACCTAGTCAAATGACAAATTAATCAAAATGGACAGTTTGAGAAATAAACATAATATGTGAGATATAATGGTGAACAATAAAGCCAGTAAAATTTATACTGGTTTCCTGAAAATAACTAGGTGTTTTCATAGAAAAATTAATCTGGAAATGAGTTATTTATGATTATTACAACAAAACATCTGGGTAGTGAAAGTATATTAAAGTTCTTGTCTTAATTTAGGGAATGCATTTATATTCAGTTTAATATTTGCAACAGATTAAAAGACATGCTGATTAAAAATGTAAAGATACTTATAGTACAGAAATAGGGGCAGAAACTCCAAATCATTAGAAGAAAAATAAAATAGTGGGAAACAACACAAGAGACAGAAAACAAAGTATGATGACAGAAATAAAACTAAGAGAACTGTTATAGTAAAATGCAAATGGATTAACTTCCTTTACTGGGTTAAAAACAAAACCTAGATACATGATTTGTATGGAAGGTTAATTAAAATAACACTAAAGAGTTGAAAATAACAAGGTGGCACTGAGGAAGAGGAAGACATAAAGAGGTGCATGGGAGGTACAGACAACAAAGGTGAACCCTTTTACACATACAGTACTGAACTGTCAGTGAAGGCAAACATTGATATACAGTGGATAGATGGGTGGACAGGCTGAACTATTAGGTATGTCTATGCAGAGGGGAGTGTGCCCAAGACCATGTATAGGGTTTTGGCAGACAATGTTTCTACAAGTGTATCTGTGTGTTCTGTAAGAATTCCAAGGTATGTAGTAGAACTGACAACGGACAAGGTTGTAGTCACTTCTTGACCACAGCCAGCTACCCAGAGGGAGCGAGTAGTTGGACCTATGAGCTCGTCATGGGGACATCAAGCTCCATTGGCATAACATACTACACAAACACTGTTCCATATCCTACTTTGGGGAGTAGCGACTGGGATCTTAAAAGCTTGCAAGTGGCCATCTAGATGTAACAATGGGTCTCTCCTCATCCAGAGCAAAGAAGAACGAAGAAAATGAAAGATTCATGGAAACAGTGCAAACAGCTGGTATACCATGTGATCTTCAGCCTATACAACTACGAGACCAGAAGAACTGGATGGTGCCCAGCTACTACTGTCAATCACTCAGAGGGGGATCTATGTAGGAGATCCTGGATGGAGGGGGAGAGTGGTGTGGAACAAAACTCAAAATCATTAAAAAAAAAAAAAAGGGACCAGGTTTGCTGGTCTGATAGAACCTGGTGGAACCCTTGAGACTGTGGCCTCTAGCTGTCCTTCTGGTCTGGAATTGAACCTACTTCTGTGGCTTCCAGTCAAATGAAAGACAGGCATATGAGCTGAACATTTATATTAGATAGATACACTCCTTGGAGAGATTAATCATGGGAGAATAGAAGGGCTATATATGCACAGGGAGACACCTTGGGGGGCAGGAATGCATGGGAGGGAAGGACACAGAGAAGAGGTAACTATGGGGAGGAAGTGGGAGGGAAGCTGTTGCATTGTGGGAAATTGCAGTCAATGCCGTGAGACAAAGTATATGTGAACTGCTCTATGGAAAGTGAATTTGCTCTATAAGCTTCCACCCAAATCACAATAAAAATAAAAATAAATAAATTAATTAATTAAAATAAATGGATGGGCAAAGATTAGGCTAGGCAATACAAACAGAAGAAAAAAGCTAAAGTAGAAACACTAACTGCTGTCAATGTACGTTTCTGGGTAAAAGACATCAACCATGTCATACACGAAGGCATTTTATAAGCATAAATATGTTAATCCATAAAAAAGTCATGAATATTTAATCCAATTAATATAGCAATAAAGTAAATGAACCAAAAGTTGTTAGGAACTTAAGGCAAACTCTATTAGAAGATAATAAAAATGGGAAAATGTATCTCAGAAAATGGTAAGAGTAAGAATTATCAAAGTAAAGCTATTAAACTGAACATTAAATTTCTATAATTTGATACTTAAATTTAAAACAGATCACACATTATTTCAAATGCCTATGAAGTTTCTACAAAATCAACCATGTATTAGGCCACAAAGAAAATCTGAAATTCAAAAAAGTCTGTATTCCTGGACTGTAATAACATAAAACCAAATGTAGCAATCAAAATATAAAAGTCATACATACATATCCCTACCCACTTAGCAGTTAAATACGTCTAAATAAATAATCGGATTCAGAAATTAAACACTGAGATTTTAGAAAACTATCAGAGCTACCTTAGCAATGAAAAATAAAACCAGTACTGATTTTTAGCAAAGTAAACAAACAGACAAACCTCAAGGAAGTTTAATCAAGAAAAGAGAAAATAAAGATACAACATTAGGAATGGGAATGAGGCTATAACCACAACTAGTAAAGAAATTCTAAACATAAGAGATTATTCTGCATATCTTTATGTCAATTAAATTTGACAATCTAGATGAAATAAATGATTTTTTGGGAAAAAACAAAGCACTAAATTTACCTCAGGAAGTGGTAGGAAAACCTCACTGTACCCCATGCAATCCTCAACCTATACGACTATAAGACCAGAAGAACTAGATAGTGCCTGGCTACCACTGTCAACCACTCAGAGGGGGATCTATGTACATAGGAGATCCTGGATAGAGAAGGAGAACAATGTGGAACAAAACTCAAAAGCATTTGGGGACAAAAAAAAAAAAGAGACCAGGACCTGGCTGGTCTGATAGAGCCTGGTGGAACCTGAGACTATGGCCCCTAGCTGCCCTTCAGCTCTGGAACTGAACCCACTCCCATGGCTTCCATCCAAACAAAACACAGGCATATGAGTTGAACATGTACCTGAGGTAGATAGACTCCTTGGAGAGAATAATCATGGGAGAAAGAAGGGCTGTTTATGCACAGGGAGACAGTTCAGGGGGCAAGAGTGCATGGAAGGATGGACACAGGGAAGAGGTAACTATCGGGAGGAAGTGGGAGGGGAGCTGTTGCACTGGGGTAAATTGTAGTCAATGTCATGAGACAATGTGTGTGAACTGCTGTATGGAAAGTGAATTTGCTCTGTAAACTTTCATCCAAATCACAATTAAAAAAAAAAAAAAAAACCTCACTGTACCAATAACCATGGAAAAGGACAATCAAGATTTAAGGCAATCCAAAAGATGAAGACTCAAATAATTTTATTAACAATGTCTAATAAATTTTTGGGAGCTCTGGTAGCATAGTGCCTAAGGCACTTGACTGCTAACCAGAAGGCTGGCGGTTCAAACCCACCAGCCACTCCTCAGAAGGAAGGTTGGGCAATCCTACTTCCGTAGTGATACTGCCTCGGAAACCCAAGGAGGGGTCGCTATGAGTCGGGGCCGACTCGACGGCAAACAACAACAACAACAATAAATTTTTAGGGCATTCTTAATTTATATTTTATTTAAAGTATTTCAGAGCATTAAGAAGATGGCAAGCTTCCCAATACATCTTCTACACAAACAAACCCTGATACCTAAACAAAATTAAGATAACATGAGAAAATAATTATAGATTAATATAAATCGCAAATATAGATGCAAAATCGATAAATAAAATAGTAACTTATCAACTATAAAACTGTATTAGAATAATATCACCAACTGTGATTATTAGGTTTTTACTTTGGGAATGATTTGTTCCACATAAGTAATGTCTTACATGTGTTAATAAAAGTACATCCCAGAAACCAATAGCAAATACAGATTGTACTTAATGTTGAAATGCTAGAAAAGCAATGTTGAAATTCCCATTAAAGTCAAGAATAAGAGAAGGATATGTGCAAACACTACTATTATTGCCTGGAGATCCCAGATTATTTAGTCACACATGAAAAAAGCATAAGCATGATGTAGGAAGAAACATTAATTTGAAAATTATATAGCTGCCTATAGAGAAAAATCTAAGACGCTCTGGTGGTACAATGCCTAAGGCACTTGACTGTTAACCAGAAGGTTGGTGGTTCAACCTCACCAGCTACTGCACAGAAGGAAGATGAGGCAAGGTACTTCCGTAAAGAGTTATTGCCTTGGAAACTCAGTGAGGGTTGCTATGAGTTAGAATCAACTAGATGGTAGTTTTTTTTTTATATATAGCGAAAATCTAAGAAAACCAGTTGAAAACCACTAGAACCAATGGGAGAAAGGATTACTTTCATGAATGTATCAAAAAAATCAAAAAAAGAAGTATCTAAAAAGTAGTGTACAAAACCTAGAGAAATTAAAGATATAAACTTAAAGACAAACGACTTGAATAAAAATGTTTAGACACATCATATTCCAAAACTTCCATCCTCCTCAAATTTATAAATTAAATGCAATCTAAATGTAAATTCCAACAAGATGATTCCCCCAGCTTTGTTTTAGAACTTGATAAGCCAATTTCAAAGCAAACAGAAAAGCTCTTCTTCAAAGATGAACATATATTAAGTTTCTGGTACACAGACAGAACAAAGCAGAAAAATAGGGAGTTAAGATACAGCAGCCCTCTGGGAACAATTCCAGTAGGGCAGTGGTGAAATCAATGCACCTGAAAAGTAGAGTGTTCTTTTTTCCTCAAGATTGTTTGGACAGAGTCCTGGGTCCTCTACATTTCCACATGAATGTTAGTTTGTTAATTTCTGCATAGAAGCCAGCTAGGATTTTGGAGGGAGCTGCATCAATCTGTAAGTCAATCTGGAGAGTACAGTATTACCATTCTAATAATATTAAGTCGCCCAGTCTGTGAACATGAACTGTCTTTCCATTTATTTAGGTCTTTTTAAATTTCTTTCAGAAATGTTTTAACAAGTATTGTACTTCTTTAGCTAAATTTGTTACTAAGTACTTTTTTATGCCATTAGAATGAAATCTCTTAATTTCATTTTCAGTTGTTCATTCTAATGTAGAGAAATACAATTGATTTTTATACCTTGAGCTTATATCTTTATACATTTTTTAAAAATATATTTTCCTTAAACATGTTTTACTCTTAAAATCAGAAGAATAAAAGGAGGACTGTGCAGAAAATAGAGGTGAAGTAAGTTTATGTTAAGTGATTTTCAAAGAAGCATGGTTTAAAGCAAGACCAAAAACCAAATCCACTGCCACCGAGTTAATTCCGACTAAAAGCAACTGTACAGGACAGAGTAAAACTGCCCTATAGGGTTTCTAAGGATGTAAATCTTTCTAAAGGTAGACTACCTCATCTTTCTCCTGCGAAGAGACTGGTGGGTTTGAACCACCGACCATTTGGTCAGTAGCTTAATGCTTTTACCACTAGGTTTAATTGATTAAACTGGTGTATAGACCTATTAAAATGCACTATATTGAACACATACCTAAACTCTGTAAAACAATGATTTCTAAGTTTCAGGAGTTTGGCAGAATCAAAGGTGCTGTCTTTATTATCTACAAAATCCTTCTTTAGTGATACTAGATTGAAAAAAAAAAATTAAGATTCAGTGTGATTATGGACTTTCCCACTGTCACAGCTAACTAGGTAGCAAATCCAGGATTAAAATTGGGACTTCTGATTACAAATCCACTGTTTTGTTCACTACACTCTACAAAATAAGAATCAGTAAAATAAGTCTGGATACACATAGAATTTTTGTAGTCAGATTTTGTCAATACCAATCTCAGCATGTATCAACAACTAAGAAAAACATACTTGAAAATAAAGGCTTTCAGAATGTGCTTTATGAACAAGTTTATCATATGTCTATTGTATTCAGGCTTATAACGGATTATCAGAATGTTACAGTTAAGCTTACCAACAGGGACAAACGGTGCCTCTCTAGCTTTTCGGATAAGTTTGGATCCCTGATCTTCATCATATGAAGAAAGAGAAACATCTGTGTTGGATGACATAGTGATTTGGTTGAAGAATCTTCCTGAAAGAGAATTTTCATGAGATTCTGTAATTATACGAATCTAGAACATTATAGAGGATCCGTGGTAGCACAATGGTTAAAGTGTTTGGCTGTTAACCCAAAGGTTGGTGGTTCGAACCAGCCAGCTGCTCTGTGGGAGAAAGGTGTGGCAGTCGGCTTCCCTAAATATTTGCAGCCTTGGAAACCCTGTGGGGCAGTTCAGCTCTGGCCTGTAGGGTGGCTATGAGTCAGAATCGACTTGATGGCAGTGGGAATAACAGCATTATGAAGTGCCTAGGCATAACTTAAAAATGCTAGTTTTATGTAAAACCTGGTATTATGTTATCCATTAACTTTTCTAAATATTTTTACTCTATACTACCTTTAGGGAGAATTTTATGTATATATTTCCCTTATGTTTTGAGGTTTCCTCCATATACCAATTACTTTTTACCACCAGATTGTTAAAAACATGTTAAAACACTAATAAAGAAAAAAAATTTAAATTACTTTTATCAATTAAAATAGCAGCTATTCATTTTCTGGCTTTCTTCATCCTCAATTAAGTCTGACTTGACAACTTTTAAATTACCCAAACCAAACTGGTATTCCTTGTTGGTTCCTCAAATATGCTGGAAATCTTACTAAGCACTTCTAAGTGTAGTAAGTATAGTCTCAATCACTTTCAACTGCTACTGACTCATTTGCTCCACAGAGCTTCTTGGATTCAATTCTCATCTCTCAGTAGTTTCAATCCCTTACACTGATGTACTATACAAATTATATTATACGAATTATTATTGATGGTGGTGGTCTCTGGAGAAAAGACTACAATCATTGTGAATAGCCAAAATTTCTACCTACCTCATCATTTACCCTTTTAAAGAACAAAGCTTCAATTTTAAATATGATTGCCAGAAATGCATAATGTAACCTTTTAAAATTTTGACTTAGGATTAGCATTTTTAACATCACTTCAGTATAAAACTGAAATACTCTTGGGCCTTCTTAATGAATTAATATCTTCTAAGCTAGGTTTGCCTAACACAAACCATGGTATTTTCAATCACCTCATATGCATGTGAGAGCTGGACAATGAACAAGGAAGACCGAGAAAGAGTTGATGCCTTTGAGTTGTGGTGCTGGCGAAGAATGCTGAGCATACCATGGACTGCTAAAAGAACTAACAGATGTGTCCTGGAAGAAGTGCAGCCAGAATGCTCCTTGGAAGCAAGGATGGCCAGACTTTGTCTCACCTACTTTGGTCATGTTGTCAGAAGGGACCATTCTCTGGTGAAGGATATCATGCTTGGTAAAGTGGAGAGTCAACGGAAAAGGGGAGGACCCTCAACAAGATGGATTGGCACAGTGACTGCAATGATGGCCTCAGGTATAGCAAAGATCATGAAGCTTGCACAGGACTGGCCAGTGTTTTGTTTTTCTGTACATAGGGTCGCTATGAGCCGCAGACAACTCAACAGCACCTAACAAGAAGAAGAAGCTGCAGCTCAAAGGAGCCCTGATGGCACAATGGTTAAGCACTCAGCTGATAAGTGAAAGTTGGGAGTTTGAGCCCACCAGTTGCTCCGCACAGAGAAAGATATGGCAGTCTGCTTCCATAAAGATCACAGTCTTGGAAACCCTATGGATCATCTCACGTACTTGGGATATATTATCAGAAGGAATTAACTAGTACCTAGGGAATGACATTATGCTTGGTAAAGCAGGTAGTGAAAAAGAGGAAGATCTTCAATGACTTGAATTGACAAAGTGGTTGCAGCAGTGGACTCCAGCACGGCCAAGATTATGAGGATGGCTCAGGACCAGGCAGTGCTTCATTTTGTTATATATACATGAGTCAGAACCGACGTGATGGCACCTAACAAGAACAAGCTACAGCTCTGCCTGCCTTTACATGTCTTATAGTCTCTCTTACAGTGGATGTATTGTTCTGTGTACCTTCTATAATCTCACTCCTTTAAATGGGGACAAAAAAAGGAAAATCATTTGTTTGATAGTGAGTAAGGAAGATAGAAAAGAAAAAAAAAATTTCATTATTATAGGAGCAAAGGCTTCTTCTCCGTTTTCAGTCATCTTTCTTCATTCAGGAAGCTAACAAGCATTTCATCACAATAAGGCAATAATATAATTTCACCTGAGTCACAGTAACTACGTATATACTTCCTTCTTTATTGAACTGATTTAAGCTGCCTGTAAACTTTACTCATAGATCAAATAAGGGAGTCAAACATAGTATATCTGATTAGTGTCAACTACAAAAAGTCCAAAAGTCAACTCCCATCCCACTGCCCATATAAGATCCTTCTGTCACTTCTGGGCCTTTCATGTGCAACACACTCCTCGGCAATAGCTCTTATTCAACACCTTGCAACCAAAGGAGGTTTGTGGTGGTGAAGGCCTCCCCCTAAAGTGCAGAAATTTTAGGGGTAAGTGTGTGTGTTTAGTTTGAAAAGTGAATTCATCCTTCTAACCATCTATCCCCACCAAGAATGAAGAGTCCAATCCTGTCATCGACAAGAAAACCTTAACCCAGGGCAGTTAAGCAGAATCACAGACAGGAGAGAGCGCTGGTGGCATAGTGCCTAAGGCACTTGACTGCTAACCAGAAGATTGGTAGTTCAAACCCACCAGCCACTCCTCAGAAGGAAGGTATGGCAATCTACTTCTTTAATGATACTGCCTCGGAACCCAAGGAGGGGTTGCTATAAGTCAGAGACTCATAACAACAACAACAACAAGACAAGACCTACATCTTTAACTTCTCTTTTTCTGTGTCCCATTACATCCCAATTGAGTAAATTTCTACTTATTGAGCTCGTACTATATACAGGGTTCAATGAGGAACCTTCAGGGAACTCACTATATATTTGAAAAGAGATGATGCATAAATTCTGAAATAACTAATGTTTCAAAAATTAGATTTTTTTTTTTTTAAAGAGAGATGATTTTAGAGTGATTTTTTAGCTAAAGTGGGTATGGGAGGTTTCACAGAGAAAACTAGATTGGCCTTGAAGAATCTGCATAAATGGGCTAAATGGAGAGATTAAATATTGTATTTATTTTAGGCTGATATGTTTGTAAACTACCTTCACACCAGATCAAAAGCTCCTCAAAGACATGGCTGTTTATCACAAAGCCTCCTTCCACCTCCCTCCCACAAGCCCACACCTCAACCACACTCTTTTTAGATGTTCTCTGTACCTCCAACCAAGTCTTTGCACCAGTTGCCTCCTCTGCCTATAATGTAACACTCTTCTTCCCTTTCTCCACCTTCCATCTGCTTCGGACACTCTTTCCTGGCGAACTCTTCCCATCCTTCATGTTCTTGCCTTAATTTGACCTCCTCTGGGAAGTCGTCTTTGACTCTATAAATTTATAAGTGCTTTGGTTATGTATAAGGAGCTCTGACGGTGCAGTGCCTAAGGCATTTGCCTGCTAACCAGAAGGTTGATGGTTCAAACCCAGCACCACTTTTTGGAAGGAAGATGAGACAATTTACTTGCATAAAGGTTTACTGCCTCGGAAGCCCAGTGGAGGTTGCTATGAGTCGGAAACATGCGATGGAAGTGAGGTTTTTTGTTTTTTTTTTGGTTATGCAGTACCATAGGACCCTGCAGGGGCACTGGTAGTTCACTGGTAGAATTCTTGCCTTCCATACAGGAGGCCAGGCCAATGCAGTTTATGCAGTTATCACCCATCATTGAGTAAATGCTTGTGTGTTGCTATGATGCTGAACAGGTTTCAGTGGAATGTCCAGACTAAGGCTAGGAAGAAAGGCCTGGCAATCTACTTCCAAAAATCAGTCATTGAAAATCCTATCGATCATAATGGTCTGATCCATAACCAGTCATGACCAGGGGGATGGTGCAGAACCAGGAAGCATTTAGTTCTGTTGTGCATGATTTTGCCAAGAATCAGGGGCCAGCTTGCTGGCAGCTAACAATAGCAACAACAGGACCCTGTACTTTCTCTTTTGTAACGCTTTATTATAGCTGCATGTTTGGATTGCCTGTTTCTCCTGCTAGAATCCTTGAAGTTGGGACTTCTCCTCTGCTCATGTCTATCTCCATTGCCTTTTATGTGATGCCTTGCATATAAGTACACAACAAACTGTTTGCTGAATGAATTAAAAAGTTACTATTTTTCAACAAACAAAATTATTCTCAGATGATTTATTTAGGAATATTCAGTGAAAACAGTATTATACACACTTGTAGAGTTTTGTAAGAAAACTGCCAAACTGTATATACATATATATTTCATATATATATACATGTATATACTGTATATTTCTTTTAAAATTCTTCAATTGTATTTGTGAAAGAAGATATAATAACCAGGGTATGTCTTGGCTCCTTGAAACCATGAGAAAAAACTATTATATACCATAATCCATTTTTAAAAACTGGCAACTTCTTTTGTAGACATAAAAGTAAGATTTTTTCCTAAACTAAGAAGTAATTTGGGAATTATCTTTAAAAGCAAGAATATTGGTACTTTTCCCTCTGATCACCTCACATCCAGATAATTGCCTAACAGATCACTTCAACTTTGTTCTCTGCCAGATTAATCTTGCTAAAGACTTCTTTATGTTACTCTTTCATCCAAAAATCTTCTATGGCTCTCTGTGATTTACTGATTGAGTTATTCCCTTCAGTGACCCTCATGCTTTTTATCTAGCTCAAACATCACTTCCTATATGAACTTTTTCCTTACTTTCCTCAGGAGAGTTAAGTTGCCTTAAGCATGCTATTTTCCCATAAATTCTGTTGTTACTGTGTATAGGTTTGTTCCACCCCACACCTCCACTCTCTAGACAGCTAAGAATCTTAATTACATCTGCATTCCCAGGTACTGGCAAATTAACAGGCAATGAAGGCAGAAGAAATAAAAATCAAAAAGCTTGTACAACAGGTAGCATTAAATAAACTCCATTTCTTTTGCCTAAACTCATCCTAGTGGATTTCTATTACCTAC